ATGCCTTTAGCCTTTTTAAATTTCTTTCCAGTAGAATTTCCTGTTTATTTGTGAATTTTCTCAGAAATTTCAAACTGGCACAAAGATACTTCAGTAATTTTTTTCACTTTGGTTACTATTTTTAAGCCTTCAGTTTCAATTTACAGGGTAATATTTTGAATTAAAAGCACAGTGCAGAGTTTGTTTTATATGTGCTCTCAATAATTTTTAATTACATAAATGTTTTGATCTTTTACTGTTAGCATAAGTTGATTTTTCAGCAGGACATTATTTTTTTAATAATTTCACATATTGTACTGTAGAGTCTGATTTTAAAACTAGGCTTCAGTTGAAGATTATTCAATAAATAAGGAAATGAAATCTGAAATGGAATAATACATCACAAAGTGCTGTTTTCTGTACAGTTATATACTGAAAGAGCTTGGAAGGTGAATGGACATATTTCATATGTTGCACTTCTGGCACTACTCCAGTATAAAGTAGCAGTGTAGGTTTTCCATAAGAAATACTAGTTAGTGGTCACTGTGGTGTTTCCTATAGGGAACTAGTTTTGATTTGAGGGTAACAAAGTACGAAGTGCCTCACTGGTTTCCAGTAACAAAACCATAACCTGTGTTCTGAAAATTCTAGCCCAGAAATGAGCAAGTAAATCTGTTATTAGCTGATGCTTTTTAAAAGAGAGAAAGACTTTATGCAGAACAGTAAACTAGCTAAAAAAGTGAAGGCTGTTCAAAGCAGGAGGGCTGTGATTTCCAACTAGCAAAAAACAGACTGGGAATCCTGCTAGTGATTCACAGTGATGTGGTTTTAAACGAAATGTGTTACATAGAGCTCTTGCACATTTCCCCAGACGAGGGGAATTCCCATCTGGAGGCTCTTTCCCTTTAAAGCAGAGTTCCACATCTGCAGGCAGCAGAATCTGGGCTGGGACTGGCCAGATGAGAATACGTCATAACTGACAGGCTGAGAATACATCATACCGTGAAGGAAAGTGAAGCAATCCAGGACCTCTCAGGTTTCACAGCCCCTAATCAAGCAGAACTACACATTCAGGCACAAAAATAGCCAGCAGACAAGTATAGGCAGTATTCCTTGAGCTCTGACATGGAGGTGAACCAAGTAGTTTTCTGCCTTGCTCCTGTGCCTGCCACAGTATTTTTCCTTATGCTGGAAAATCTGAAGACTTAAGAAGAGTTGAATTCAACTATATTTGGTTTAAATTTTCTACTTTTTTCAAGGTTGCAAGTAAAATAGTATTTTCTTTAGGCTTAATGCTTGATGTCTAAGCCTCTGTTTCTCCCTACATTTAGGAAGATTTTTTCACCCTTTTGATTATTTTTATGCTTCTGTGTTCCTTAACATCTAGTGAGGAATTAGACATGACATCTACAAGCAATCAGATCTCGTTCTTTTCATTAAACCTGGCTAGTGTCCATCAAGTTGAGCTGACAAGTTTCATTCTGCTGGCTTCTGTATTTTCAGAGACTGAGTTCATCAGATTACAGCTGAATTTCTAAAACTTAATGATTTCATAAACAAAAGTTATCAAATCAAGGTGCTTAGTGATTCAGAGCAGTTGTCTAGAATAGAAATCTTTTCTATGTCTGTTACCTAAGGAATTGCTTTCTTGATATTTTATGTGTAAAATGTTTTTTTAAATACTGCTGGTGGCTATTGGGGAATACTTCTGAGAAATTTGTCTTGAGTGTTTGGTTGTTCAGACACACTGATTGGCGTGGCCATGCAGAGAGAAAATATTGGTCTGTGAACATATCATGCTCTTTTTACTCTGAATTTTACTGTTGCTAGATAGCTCTAGGTGCTTATTCTATAGTCTGTGATGGTGAGCTAGCACTGAAAAACTGAATGTAGTTTTTGTAGTTTCTTTAGTGAGAAATCAGGATGATTTTGCATACTGGTATCAACCATTGGGGGGTGTGTATTCACTACATTCAGTTGTTTGTGGCAACTTCTGTGCTTCATTGTGGCAGTTTGATTTTGCCTATGGGTTTTAGCAGTGTTGACTGTAATTCTTGTCAGGGCAGCTGCTTCTGGCATTCAGTTCACAGAATTAAGGTTTTGCCATCCTTGCAGCATGCTGTTTATCTTGTCAGTCCTGTGGCCAAGTTGTGTACCTGAATCTGCAGGATTGTTGTTTCAATGCTTTTTAATAAAATTGCTTTATTTGGGCTCATACCTTTCTTGTTATAACTAGGGCACAGTGGCTGTGCAGCTGGCTTGACAAGTTGGGCACAATCGTAAGCGGGATAGTAACAATAATTTTTTTTGTTTTCACATCTCTTCAATGTTGCTGGAATGCTTCCAGGAACAATGCTTTAATTTCCAAAAGGGTGAACTGGCTTTTGCCACCCTCCTTATGGGCAGTCTTGATGCACAAACTCCACTAGCTTGTCCCAGTGTTAAGGTTTGTTAATATAAGTGATTTGCCCAATATCTGCTGCTGCATCCTGAGAAATTCCCATATTCTGTGTAATAGAATAGGAAGGGAATAGACAAGCTCAAATGTTTGTGTTTTGCAGAGTTGCTGCTGCCTTGCCTTGACACATCCATTCCACAGTTTCTGGCCATCCCAGGTGATGTAGGCCTCCATTAGAAGTGAGACATGCCTAGTGCAGTGAGTTCCAGAATTCCTCAATTCACTGAGACAGCATGGGGATTTTCATTTTTTCTATCCATTTATGATTGTTGTCAGTCTTCATTATGAGATTGGCTTTAAGTTCAAGGAAAATTTTCAAGCCTTCCATTTTGAAATGACCTTGGTCTGCAGCCTGTTGAATACCTGAGGTTTTCCTGCTTGGCACGACATGGAGCTTTGCTCATAGTGCTTGGGTAGCCATGGAGTGAAGAGCTGCTTTCATTTGTCAGCTGAATGTAGCATGTATACAAAAGTTCCTGTAAAACCATGGGTGGTTTGTGTTCAACAAAGCTGAGGCATTGGATTGTGTAACTTGTATCCTAAGAATTTTAAATTTTAAATTTAAAATTTTAAATTTTAAATTTTCTTCTTCTTGTAACTTTACTTGGCATGAAATTTAGATTCTAGTGATACTCTGTTGTGTCCAATATTTGAAACATCAACTTAAATTATTTCAACAGGTGTAATTTGTTTGTTAGATACTGTGGCTACTCATACTTGGTCCTTTATTTTATGATAATCATAAAATAACAATCCACAATCTGCCACAACTGGATGGAGTTATTTAAGCATATGAGCATCAGTTTGGTGCCTAGTGATGTATTTGGTATTCCGAGGGTGCTTAGGTCAGGGAAGTGTTCAGGCCCTTTTTATGTTTTTCAGCTTGCTGGAAAACAGTTCTGTGTGATGATCTGGTGATCAGCATTGCAATAACATGGTTTGTTTCCTTACAGGAACCATAATTATTTCTCCAGCCTATCAAAAGTGCAGTTCCTTGTGAAATGGTAAGCCAAATGCAGAAGCTTCACCACTGAAGGGGGGAAATCCCAAATCCCTTACACCTTTGCCTCTCCCTCAGAGTCTGTGGCTGTGTGTTCCTGTCACTTGCCTGGTTTTGGCCTCAGCAGCTGTCTGATACGCCCTGAGCTTTAGCTTGCTCACACACGTTGTTTGGCCAAATGTTTTTCTACCATTTTAGTAAGGTTTTGTGTGTCAGTGAAGGGTCCAAAGAGCCAGAGGGAGGGAGAAGTGTGTGCTCCTGAGAGACAGGAGAGATATAGCCTGTTTGAGAGCTATTACAAATTTGGGTGCCTGTCTGTCTGCAGCCCAAGCACCAAACATCCCGTCTTAAATTCTTCAAATATGATCATTTTAGGCATTCCTTTAGGACTGTTAATGATGGCATTGAGATGTCTCCTGCCTTCTACAGCACTCATTTTTGGTGGAGTCTACATGCCCGTAATTGTTGTATAGATTTGTCGATCTTTTTGTATCATTCAGCTACTGAAATTCAATTGTTACAGCAAGTCAATTGCCTCAGATTGATTTTCCTGATTAAAAGAAAGCATTTTTAATACTGATTCTTATTTTTCAACTTGCCTATCCAGTTAAAAATACATTTTTTGTTAAACTCACCTGCAGAATCTCACAAGAACAATTAACATAGCCAAATCTACAATAATTTTCAAACTTCTTTATCTCATGTTAATACCAGTAATGCTTCTGCTTAGTCAGCCACAGCAAAATTACTCACAGTTTTATAAAAAATTAGCAACTGCTGATCAGCAGTTATCTCCTTGGTTGATGAAATTTGAAGGTAATGAAAAGCTTTGGTTATGCAGATGTTTGTTGGTGATCCTGCTTAAGATTTGGCTAAAAGAGGGGGGAACAGGGTGGCCCAGCATAAGAAATGAAGGGGGACTGTGTTCCTGGGACTTGAAGCCCAAAAAGAAGGCTGACAAAGAATGTACTGGCAAACAAAGACGGGAATATCTATATAGATATATAATCTGTTTTTTTACGGATAGTTGTAGAATCAGTGGAAAATTAACTGATGAAGAAGGTAAAGGACACCATTTTCCTAGAAGAAGAGTATGAAAACCAAGCTTTAGTTTACAAACAAGATAGTAATTGTGAGGACTGAAATGGGATTTTGTAATTTAATGCAAGTATAGATTACGAATTTTGAGTTGGCTATTTGAAAATGTTAAGATGCTTTCTTCTGATGTGTTGGGATTGTCACCTGCAGATGAGGTTACTGGTTCCTGTTTATTGGACTGGTACTTGTGCAAAAACGTTAAGGAAGAAAGAACGACTGCGAGGAGTTGCTATAGAGCAGCACAGGCGTGTCAGTGTTCGCCCTGGCGGTGCCGCGGGCCGGGCCGGATCACAGCGTTGGGAGGACTCGGCCCGCAGCGGATCAGGGGCCTCGGTTCTCACCCGTCTTTTCCCGGTGTCTCTCCCCAGGCCGTGCCGCGGCCGCAGCAGGCCCGGGCGCGCAGCCGGCGGGGCGGAATTGCGGCGTGGCCGGAAGCGCGGGGGCGGCCATGGCAGAGCCGGGAGCGCCGTCGGACTGCCCCTGCCGGCGTCGGGAGCCGCCCCGCCGGTACCCGGTAACCGCTCCCGCCGGTGGCCACCGCCTCCCGCCGGCGTCGGTTACCGCTCTCGTCGCCTCCCGCCGTGGCCCCCGCCATGAGCGGTGGGGCCAGCCTCCTGAGCCCGCCGCCCGCTGAGGGCTCGCTCCCGCCCAGCCCCTCGGAGGGCTCACCGCCCTCCCTCGCGTCCCGCTGCAGCTCCCCGGGCCGGGAGGAGGAGGAGGAGCAGCGGGCGGCGGTCTTCCGGAGTCCGCCGGGCCATAGGTAACCGCTGCAGCAGGGACCGGGCTCCAGCGGGGCTCAGGGCAGCCCTTGCACTTGCTTCCCTCCGCTGGAGACAGAAGATTATTTTACATAAATATAGCCTTGTTTGCCGAGACGAAAGCTTTAAGCCGTTGTTTTTGGTTTTTTTTTTTTTTTTTTTTTTTCCTGTGGGCTCATAAATTGTCTGTAAGCAGTGTTAAGCTGAGCGTGATAAAGCTACAGTCTCTTCTGCCTTAGTTGAAAAGTGTTTGCAGACTAAAGGGTTGTTTTGCATGGTGTATGTAGCTGGGTCCAGAGTCAGTTTTGTATGTAAGCATCGCACAGCTCCTGCTCCAGTGGCTTAATCTTGCTCCATTTAAATTACATGCAAACATAAAATGCATTCTTTTTACTTGGGATCTCACCGGCTTGACAAGAGAATAATAATTATTCTTCCCTTTAAAACAGAAGGATGAAGAGCAGGGAGAGCCTATCATATTCTGGAATTCAGGATAGAAACTTGACAGACTTGGGCATTAACTGGTAGTGAATGTAACTAGCAAGGCTGAACTGAGCTAAAAGCACCGGTGAAGTAAAGGAAGGACAGCAGAGCTTCATGGGGTGCAGGTTTCCAGCATGGTCCTTAAATTTCCATGGAGAGCAGTGAAGGAACGTGGACCACACTGAACTTTACCTAAAAGTATTTCTTCAAAAAGGTGCCAAAAGTCCAGGGAGTGTTCAGGTGTAATCAGAAGCTTCAGAATGAAGAGATCAGCCAGTTTATAGTTCCTTCTCTTTCAGTTACTACTTCCCAATGAGCAGTTTTGTTCATGCCCCTTGGAGCTCTGTGGCAGTTTGTTCAAGCTTCAAAAGGTTTTGCAGCTTCAGAGGCTGTTTGAAACAGCTCCAACTCTGGGGCCTGTTGCTGCAGTATTCTCTGGCAGCAGTGAGGTGCAGCTGAAGACAGCCTCTTTTAGGGCCCGAGCTGGCAGTCCTGTTAAACTGTGGGCTAAATACACGCTGTGCTGGTGTGAACACTGCTGCTGGGTAACACTTCTGTGTTACCCATTTCTGTGTATTGGTACACAGCTTCTGTGTATAGCTGCCAAGATCTCAGAAGTATCATAAAACCCATTTCTTACGTAGCCTCCCATGTATGCATGCACTCTGCATCTTTTTGTTGTTGTTGTCCTCTTAAACCTACACAATAATTAGCTGGAGGCAGCTAAGCTGTGGGAAATGCAGTATTTGCAAAAGAGAAAGGGTAAAAGCGAGGCCTTGTTAATGCTGTTAGGCATTTTCATACTTTCGTTGTGGATCCAGTGTTATGTTTGATGTGTCACCTTAGTGAATATATGGCAAATGATAATCACTGTTCACTATTAATCCCACTTGGGTTTAATGCCAAATGTCTCTAGCTCTGTTTAAGATACTTATTTAGAAGTAAATGTGCATTTAAGAATGGGTTATTTTAAGAAGTCTATTACTTTAATTATTTTGAAGAAGTTCATAACTGCTAGAATCTCAGAAAATGGTCCTGTGAAATTCGAGGGGTGTGTGGGGTTTAAAATGCATGGTTGGTGTGCCAGGAGAGTGTGACTGGTGGCTGCAGTGCACACCAAGGAAGACTGGGTTCTGGTGCAATAGGAGAGCTTTACACACAGTATTGGAGAAGTGTTTCTCCCAACAGGTCTTAATACTGAGCTTGTGTTTTCCTCTGTTTAAGCTTCAGTTTGTGTTATTTCTTACTCATCTACAGTAAGTTCTTAATCTATTACTGTGAATAACTTATTTTGAGAAGTTGACAGCTTGAATTTCATAAGTCCTGATAATACATAATAAATATTATTTTTCCTAATTTATTCACTCCCCTAGTACTTTTTCTAGGTTGGTTTACTTTGTCAGTCATGTTCCACAAGGTGCCATAATGCAAATCACACAAAGCAAAAGAATGTATTGAGAAAGTATCCCTGCCCAAAATGTCAAGTCTGTACAAAGTTATGGGTTTTTTTCCTCAATGTGAATGTATAATACTTTTATCCTTTAATGAACTTTCAGAGACTTATTTTCTTACAAAATGAGTTATTAGGTATTCTTAAGTGGTATCTCTTATTGTATGTATGTGTTTTAAAAGCTGTCTCTGTTAAATTATTGGTCTTTATTAATGCTTCAGCATAAAAGCCCTAGAGTGCAGCAGAATGGGTGGGGTTGTGCTGGACTGATGGGTCTTTGGTCTGTGCTGCTTCTGTCCTTGCAGTGTCCGGGTGTCCCTGTCAGTTCTGTTATTTTGCATTTCACACCGTAAAAGTGGGATTGTCTGGGGAAATAAACCTGCTCCGGGTAGGTTTCAGTGTGAATCAGTTACCCTGACCTGACCAGGAAAGTCCTGTTAGCACAAACACACATGAGTAAAACAACAGGGAAGAGTAGGACAAAACTCTGTAAAACTGAGATTGTCCCCAAATGCTTTCTAGCACAGAAATGTGCTCTTATTGCTGCGTCCTGTGAATATGTTGTAATTTTATATTGATAAAATTCAGGTATCTTATATTTAAAAAAAATATGTCTGGAGCATTAGCATAATATTCTTGTTGGATGCTTCTTCTGTAGCTTAGATTCAGCAAACAGAATTCCTCGCTGTAGTGGAGTATGTGTGTAGGTAGGTATTTCCAGAGCTGGTACATCTATATGAAATAGTAAAGTGAAGTCTGGTTTCATTGCTTTGTTCTCAAGACAAAATTCTATGGCTGGTAGTTTTAAAGAAATCTCTTGGCCTGTTTTCAAATTTTGCTGACTTGGACCCTAATATATGGTGTTATTTATGAAATAGTACATATATAGAATATTATAAAAAATATTTCTGAACTGGGGCTAGGATTGCAGCATTATTCATGAGTAAAGAAGTTATGAGTGACTTATGTAAGATATCATATTAAATGTCTAATAGAACCTACCATCAAGTATTGTATGTTGGCTATATTTTTTAAGCACATTTCCTGTGAAAGTGTTTTAAGATGGAAAACTTCCTGGATTGAACGGATGGATTTGTAATGAATGGATTCTTAATGCTGAGCTTGCTTGATACCATGAATCCACTTGTACAAGACTTTTGAACAAAGAAAATAACATTGTCGCTTTTGCTTTGCTTTTGCTAAAGACCACTCGGTACATGGAGCTTCTTGTGACCAAGGACAGGATGTTAATGTTAAACCTCTGATTTTCCTTGGCTTCCATATGTGAGGAGGAGAGGGACACTTTGATGTTATGGGTATTCTTCTTGTTTAGTTTCTAGAAGGTAGTGTTCGAATCTGTTCCACAGCTCAAAATCACTAACGAGCTAGAATTAGTAAGGAAAATGTAGAATGTAAGGGGGATGGTCAGAGGTGCACTGCAAATGCCATTTATCCTTTAGGGAGATTACTAAACAAGTAGATAAATTGTGTCATTTGTTGTCACATTATGCCATAAAAGTACTTTTTTAAGACAGTAACACTTTAACTTTTAGATGAACACATGAACTTGAATACATTATAGATTATACTCTCTTCTGTTTCTTGTTTTTAATTCAGGAGGGGTGAACACTCTGAAAGAGCAGGGGGGAGAAAAATGTCACCTTTGAAAGATAACCTTTCACCATGGGAAGAGTGGTTCATTGGCAAAGAGAAGGAGCTGCGTGCCCGCTTACAGGCTAGAGCTGCAGAGGTGATTACATCTAGCTCTTTTGATTCTGAGTCTAATAGGAGATAGCAGACACAGGATTTAGTTTTCCTTGGTTGTACAAACACGAGTAGTTGTTTTTTCCTTTTTTGTCTCTTAGGCCTCCATAGTGTTTGTGCTTGTCAGTGCTGGCATGATTCATGTTATGTGCATTTTCTTTTGCCAAGTGCTACACTTCATTGAACTGGTGCTGTATAATATTTTGTTTATCCAACTGTCAGGTAATGGTTCGATGTTAGAAGATTGAAACATTTATATAATTACTGGCTTGATTTTTGTCATGGGTATGTAGGCCTGCATGTAGGTTGTAGAAGAAAATGAGGTGTGTGCTGATTGTAAGTATGCCAAGCTACTTGGTTAGTTTTGAGGCACAGTATTGTTACCCACTTGGCATGTAATTTCACAACTATTTGTTGTCCTTTCCCAGGAAAGGGATCCCTGTTACAGCACTTTTTTTCTTCATTCTGTCTTTTTCCCTATTAGAGTTGAACAGTTTTTGAGAACCAGGGCTGGGACACAATTAAATGAGAGCACCCTATCTTTTCTTGATTACTCTGTTTGTAGTTGCAGTTGGTTAAATTATACCAATGTTGAAAATCAAATGGGAAGTATTGTCTGGTGATTAGAATAATCACATTAAAATTAGATAACTTCTCACTTTAGTTACTCATTAACTATTTGACCTTGAATGTTTTCCTTGCCTTTCCGTGGTTATGTGTAAAGTGAATATAGAATGCAGGTGTTTTATGTGAGCTACCTCATGCTCTGTATTAAACACCTACCACTGGAAGGTTCAGGAACAGAATTTTACAGGTCAGCAGTACACCAAAGTAGTTTGTTAAACTTGAGGAATATACTTTGATTCGTTTATCCGCATCCACCAAATGTTTCATGACTTTCTATTTATATTCTGGATTTGTAATGTAAATGTAAGCTAGCAGATGTCTCTCAACTAAATATTAAGAACAAGCATTACTTAAAGCCATGTAGAACTAGACAGATAGTTTGTAAGATTTTGAAAACATTAGATATTAAATGCAATGAGGCAATGTAAAAAGCTTATATTGGGGGGAAAAATATAATACTTTTTCTGTAATTAGGAAATGAATAAACAGCTTGAGGAAATGAAGCAAAATCAAGAATGTGAAAGAAGAAAAAGGATAGCTGAGGAGAAACACAAGGAATGGGTCCAAAAAAAGAGAGAAGAGGTAAATATTGCTTTGGCTGGAAATATTCTAGTACATGCCATGCTTGAGTAAGCCTGTGTAAAATTTACTCAGTCTGTTTGGACATCCATGTTTTCAGTTTGCTGAGTAAATGGCTGCTTTAATTGAAAATTATAAAAACACACCAAAGCAGCTAAACATTTTTTCAAGACTGATTTTTTTTTCCGTAAGGTACAAAGGGTTTTGTTTTCTGAGTATTCAGAGAACTGACAATGCGTGTACAGCTTGTGCAGTAGCCTTCTGCTGATGATAGCTGGGGTTTTGGTCTTCAGCGTACCCAGACTTCCCAGCTTCAGTGCCCAAACATTTTTGGTTAAGTGTACATCTTGACTGTGTGCAATGTTTTGTATACCAGGTACAGTCAGAAAAGGGATGTAGTTTAAATCAGGCAAGGAGTGTTTACCACAGAATATGGTTTAGGAGGGATGATTGAGGTATGGGGCCAGATTGAGGGAATTCTCAGTACACCACAGTTAGTAAATGGGAATTCCTTCAGTCAGTAATTAATTTCTGGGTGGGACCAAAAGTTTTTTAAGTTCTCTTGAGGGAGTGTCTGGGTCCAGGGTCAGAAACAGACAGCAGGATGATCCCAGTGGGGCTGTGTGACAGCTGTGTCACACCAGGTGAGCACACAGGTGCCCTGGGTGGCAGCAATGGGAACCCTTGGGACACCAGGGTGTGTCCAGCCCTGGCAGTTCATGTGTTCATAGTTCTGTGGCCTGCAGCAATACCAGCTGTTCACTATATTAACTTTGTTTCTAAACAAAACCAGATGAAAATTCACTAAAAATAGCACAACAGCACTAGCTGGGTTGGATGGGCAGACCTCATACATTTGTTTTCATGGTTTTAGAACTCCTTCAGATTCAGCCTAGAACCCCTACAGTAACATATATTTTGATCTAACCTAATTAATCTTAGTCTTAATGCTGGTTGGATAATTGGCAGAAACCCATTACAGAACCTATCCTGCTCTATTAATTTCTTATGATTTATATTGCTAATTAAAAGTACACAGGAAAAAGCAGATTTATTATTCTGCACATACAATTCAATTTTCCTCTTCCAAAATGACATTTAAATGGAAATTAAATTCTGGGTGTCTGTAGCTATTCATTAGTTCATTCACTACTCCTTCAATGCTTGAAGGAATTGGTCTGCCTCTTAAAATAGTTCCAGTTCAGAACTAGAAGTTTTCCTTCTGTCTCTTCCTTACTACCACCCACTTCAACTCCATAAATTTCTACTTATTTGCGTTTTCCTTGGAACTTTGTGGATTTACTGGTTAGCAACTTATATTCTGTTGTCAGTGGGATTAGGAGGTCTTTTTTATGGTAATCACAGCAGCCCAGAGAACAGGAGAAAAAGAATGCTTGTGTCTGGACTTTATCAAATTATGTTTTGGAAGCATAGCATCATCCTTAGGGCAAGTGTTTAGAAAAGTAAGCTGATTTTCATTTAAATCAGGTGATTTATTGGCTAGTCTTTCATATAAACCACACTCAAATCAAGGATAAACTGAATTTAAAAATTTAAAAGCTTAGCTGTCCATAGGATATTAACATTTGTGCTGTGTAGCCTGTCCCACTTCAAGTTTCTGTAAGCTTATTTGTGGATCTGGACACAGGCTGAAGGATAAATATGTCAATTCCATGACTAGGATGTTTAAAGGTGCATCAAGATTTCACCTGTAATTGAGGTAAGAGTCATGAGCACTGACAGTTGATACCATTTTCTTGGGGAGCATGTGTATATCTTATATTGGAAAACACTTCATTTTCTCATAGTAGTATCAAAAGAGGCTTCTTGAGGCAAAACTTGCAGTATGTTTCTCTGAAATTTGCATTAAACACTCACCTTTTTCAAACTCAGTTATTGGTTCTGAGCCCTGTGTGCAGAGAGCAGAAAATGCTTTATTTGGAGGAGTCAGTACTTTCAGGGATCTTATCTCTGTAGTCTCCACAAGTCTGTGCCCTTTCCCATTGCTCAGTACTGTAGGGATAAAGAAAGGAAGGCACACTTGAGCACACATGGAAACTTCTTCCTTCATTTTGAGTATCCTGCACCAGGAGACACTGCTGGAACAGTCTTTGTGCTGTGAATGTGAGAGGCATTTATGTCAGAAGTAAAATGTTTGTACATGCATAAAAGAATTCTGGTTTTCTATATGTCAAGCCAGTATTTTTCATGGCAGTTTTAGTTGTGATGCTCTCTAACTGTTAAATATAGCCCTTTAGGGTGAGGTTAGGAAGGAAAGCTTGAACACTGTTTTTGCTCACTATTGGTTTTTTTTATTATTTAATATAGATTAAAAAATATATGCTGTTACAGTTTTCTTATGCTTCTAATCATTTTACAGAAACTATTTTTGAAAGTAAAGGAATCTTAGCTATTTAGTATTCTTCTATGTAAATAGCTTTTGTGGTTCTTAGAGGTTGTAAATTAACTAGAAGTAATATTTTGAAATATGAGCCATCAAAGGACACTCTAAGCTATGAAATAGTTTATACAAATATTTGTTCATAGCAAAAATTTTCAGCTCACTAGGAATTAAAAGCTTAATAAAACCAGTTTTTAGGCACTATCTTGGACCTAATAATGCCTTTACAATTTTCAGTAAGATACTGGATCCCTCCTGGACAAAAATAGTCTTACTTTCTCTCCCTCTTAAAGTTGAGCCATTTGTTGGCAAACAGTAAATTGTCTGTTTACTTTTCAACAAGTATCAATTGAAATATTTTAACTCTAAAATAATACTAAGCATGCTTTTGATTCCAGAAGGAAAATTAACATAGCATGATTTTTTTTATGTAACTAAAATGTTTATTTCTGAGTTACTGTTAGATTTATTGATAAAAATGAAGTGACTATGGTTATAAATGCTGAGCAAGTAAGTTTGGTGTTCAGTTCCTATTTTATGTGAAATCTCTTTCATTCTTATCATCAGCTGTGGGATTGAACACTTTAGTAAGGTGCCTGTAATTGTGGAACTACTGATTAGATCAAAGTACTGGATTCAAATCAGAGTATGAGAAATGCATTGTGAATGCATAAACTGTGAAGAGCCTGTAAACTGCCATGACAGTTTAATTCCTTAACATCATCATCACAGTCAGAACCACTTACAAATTTTTGCTGAATAAAATATTAGGATTAAAGGTCAGGCCTGATGACAACAGCTTTTTGATTGCATATTAAAAAAATCAACTCTGATGCAGTGCACTCTACCTTCTACAATCTAATAAGGTATCTTTAAATCATTTAATCCCTTCAAAGCTGCTTCATTTTTACAATGTCAGTAGAGCATGAACTTAGAAATTATCTAGAGTGTCCAATTCATACATATACATGTGTGTACATATAAATATCTATATTATTACTGTTGTGGGTTAGCCCCAAGAGGCAGCTGAGATCCCCCTTGCTCCCCCCAGCTTTTCTTGCTGAGCAGGATGATCTGGGATTTCCCTTGGGTTCGTCAGTGTCAGTTCTGGCAGTGCCCCCTCCCAGCTCCTCGTGTGCCCCCAGACTGCCCTGGTGAGATGGGGTGGGAAGCAGAAAAGATCTTGAAGCTTTATAAGCACTGCTTAGTGATAACTTGTTGTGTTATCAACAAACTCTGTTTTGTTCACAAATCCAAATATAGCACAACAGGAGCTGCTATGAAGCAAATTAACTCCATCCAAACCAAAGCCAGCCACATGTGTTATGCATATGTTTGCAACAGTGACAGAAATCCCCAAAGAGGAATACTTGCATTCCAAAATAATTGTCATTCTGAAACTCATTTTGTTAACATCCCTGTATTTATTCTTTGCATGTAATTCTTTATGCTGTAATAATGTGACGCCTGGCAAACTTGTAAGAGCACAAGTAGTGAAGTTACAGTTTTCCATTGGAAAAACCAATTATTCTAATAGCCATCTAAAATTGACTGTAGAATTTCTAATACTTTCTGCTTTGTTGAATAGAGAATAAGATAACACTTTTTTTTTCCTTAAAAGTAAATATTACCAAGCAGGCATTAAAAATAGTATTTGGATGTTCAACAGTTTTTATGGTTCTTTTCTTTTCAGTAAGTCCCCTTTACTTACTGAAAAATAGAATTTTTAATGAGAACTAGGTGCAGGATGGAAAAGTTCTGTTTGAATGTTTTTTCATTTTTTTCATTGAAAATTTTGTTTGTAGCATTTATTATGCTGTTGGTAGATAGTCTTTATGAGACGCAAAAAGCATTAAGGAGCATATGAAAGCGTAGAACCAACACAGTGTGCAGTAATGAATGACAGGGTTCTTGGAGCAGACTTCCTTTTTTGGTGTGCTGGTTCCTCCAGAAGAGACACCTGGGTGACAACTCTTACACCAAAGGCTTTTTGTTAAATGTGTATTTTATCTCAGCATGGTTAATACAGAGAACAGATTGTTCCACAGCTTAAGCATGACTTTCAAGTTTTAAAGCTATGCTTGCTCGTGCTCCCTTTCTTTCATCCAATGACTTGTTAATGATTTTGTGAGCAATGGTAGCACTCCCATAGAAGGGGTGGAAAATCCTGTCATGCCAGCCTGCAGTATGGGGACATGTTAGTTGGAATCTCCTCTGGCAAAAATGTAATTAAATCCACATCTTCCCTGTCTAGGTGAATGTTCTTACAGCTGAACTGTTGTTGAGTCAAGCACTGGTTGCTAATGTAGAGCCTGATGTCCTGTAGTTTTTGCTGACAGTTTAGACTTGAAAGAGATGCTAAGATGTCCACTTGTTTAAGACTGAGCCCTTTCAAGAAGTGTATTTGTGAGGGAAACTTCTAGTATAAATGCTTTCCAGTCATGAGAACTAACTGCATTTAAGAATTAAAATTTTCTGTTTACATACTTAAGTTGTTCTTTACATATCTAATTTTTTTTGTGAGTCTGGCCTTAATTTCTTAAGGATATTTTTTTCCATATTGTGGGTCTTTTACTCTCTGGACCTGAAAAGTCTTTACACA